ATATCTCAAGGAAAATGGTCTCAAACCATTGTTTGCTCTGTCCCCATCATGAAGCTCAACCCCATTCTCTATCTAGGCACAGACACAAATTGCCCTACCCAACCCCTTGGACAGAATATACAATTAGCTGTAAAGACTTCATATTGGAAGTCAAATTTCTGGTATGAAGCTGTACTAACCTGCAGGAGTATTAGCAGAATACTCTCAGTGTGTTTTCTGTCAGTATCAACACACACCCTGATTAAGAGACAACACAGATAAAGCCAATACTTATGAAGTAATGCTGACTATTGATCAGGGGGAGGAAAAAATCCCAAAGAGCTGGAGACTGTCTCCAAAGCTTACCCAGACATTTTTTGCAGTTTTCCACTATAAATGAATGAAACCCACTCTGCTGACATACACTGTTCCCCTTCAGTTTATATAACTGCAAGAACCAATTTTCCTGAAATCCGCTTGCAGTGGATACATTACTAGCGACCTCCTGATAGTCACTGCTCCTGTTCCTGAAGGGCACTTAAATCCCCTCCAAGCTGCACTTATTTTGTCTCTAGCTGTAACACATCATTGCCTCAGAAACATTTTAATGTTTGAATGCCTTTAAAAACACCATTTGAAGCACTGTTCTGTTCAAAACAAAGGTTCCTTAGTGAACATGAAGGGATATTTAATAAATAAAAAAAAAAAAACCAAAAAAAAACCACCAACAACAAAAAAAACCCAAACCTGGGACAGACACTTTAATCAAAGTAAGAATGAAAAATTCAAATGATGCACCCCCACAAAATTCCCTGAACATAAGCAGAAGATACTGTAGAGTGCTTTGGCAATACTCTAGCTTCTCAATTAAGCAATACAGCAGGAATTACAAGTTACAAATATGTAACACACTTAAAGACTGGGAAGGTTTCCCGCTGGAGGAGCAAGGCAAGATTTACCAGCATACGTGAGAGAGCTTCTCACAAAGAGTTTGTCTTTATCTAAGTGTTCAGAACTCAAGTAGCTCTGCTTTACCCTGAAATAGCAGCTCTTACCGTAGGTAACTTATCCCTGTAAGAACAAAACCAAAACAACAAACCACCATTTTCCTTGAGAAAAATGTTTCCCCAAGTTCCTATGCTCCAATGGTGACCTAGCAAAAGTATCAGGGCAATTGCACACAATTGTACAGAATAATATTTTTCTCAAACCATTGATAGAAGGTGAAAAAGAGAAAGGAAAAAAAAAAAAACCACCAATACCTTTTTTTAGATTAGTAGAGCATCTGAGGAAACAGCAGGTCACCTTTCTCCATCCCAAGAGTGAAACTCATAGATTCAGAAAGTCAAATTAAAGTGCTCCAACCTTGGACTAGTTTTCCCTGCAGTGGAAGAATCCCTGTTACTGAGCCATGTCCTGCAAAACACTATTGTTCTTTTTCAAACACTTCCTTTTTTATTCTACAAGTGCTGAGAAAAATGGCAGAGTAAACAGCTTGTAAATTTGGCATCAGCATTGTCCTTCCTCCCTCCCTTTCATTTTCATAGTCTTTTCACCTCTGGACTCCTTCTTAAGAGCATATCCCAGACGTTTACTTTTAAAATGAGCTCAAACCAGAATTAATGGCCCATACAGGGCTCAAACCTGCACCCTGGCATTATTAGAACAGTGCTCTAAACAACTGAGCTATTATGCAGCTATATCCTATTTCAAGAAAATACTAAAAACTAACAAAAAGGATGGACCATAACCATGGTGCAATCAACATAACCATGTTCCAAAGGTCTACCACAGATCTCAGCTGCACTGAAGATACTCCAGCATTGCAAACTACAAAACTGAATCCTGTGCATATTATCATTGTTAAGTCCTTAGAACACAGAGAGAGAAAGAATCCCAGTTACAAAACTGACAATACATCATCCCATTTAGAATCTATACATTCCAACTGAGTACTCACTTCACAGAATCAGAGTGCTATGGATTGGAATGGACCTTGAAGAACACCCAGTTCCAACTCTTAATTAATTAATTATCAAATCAAAACTATAATTTTCTTAAAAATAACCCTTTCTTTTGGTTTAAATGTTGTGGACTAATCTTGCCAAAGACCTGAAACTACATCAGGATTTTAAGGTTTAGTACAGTCAGTGCCCCACAGTTGTATTAACACATATATACAGTATTTTTGTATGTTGTATGTATACATACACATTCCACTCACAAGAAATATCTGCATGCAATAAAAAATATAAAGCAAAAAAACCTAATTTATTTTTTGCAAGAGAGGGAGGGAGAGGTGGGAATAAAGAGGAACTGATACAAAAATAAGTGAAAGACAGTTAAAAAACCTCCAATGAATCTGGTACTAACTCTTTTTCACACCTGTTACAATGCTCTCTGAAGCTGATTTTGTAGCCTATCCAACACCAGCTCACAGAAATGAAGATTTCATGGCAAATATTCTCCATTAAACACTAAATAAGCAAAAAGGACTTAATAGCCATTCAGTTTCTCAGAGTTAACTGTGGGCCAAAGAAACCATTTAGATATCAAAAGCACATCTATTTTATCACATCTGCATTTCTCTAAGTACAAAACACAATTTTTTAAAGATGCTGAACACCTCACCGATTGCCTCAAACATAAAGTACGATACTGGTTTATAACACTGACTACTCCTACATGTTTGTTTGGCTTTTTCCCAAATCAACAATAAAAATATGCCCCAAGGCTGCTAGCCAGATACTACTTGGACAAGAAATGCTATTCTTTTGCTAGCACAGAATTGTGGGACTCTTCCTGAAATAGCTCAGGCATTTTATGTATTAGTGAGAAACACTCAGGATTTTGTCACTCCCTCAAGAACTATTCCACAAAATGGTGTAAAAGTTTATTCCAGGCAAACAACCCCTGAAAATTCTTCAGAGCTCTTAAAGAAAACAGCATTTCAATTAACTGACATGCATTTCAAAATGGGATAAAGTGTTGTAAGACTTTTTTCACTCATAAGTCCTCTTGTACAGCTCTTGAAGGTGCTTCAAAACAAAAGGAAGTTTCAGGTTTTACATTTTAGCTCTACTTTTCTTCTTAAAGGACATTGTAAGGGAACAATTACCTAGTCCAAGCAGCAACAAAGCTTCTAGCAAAGTCTTACATCTTACTTCTAGCAAAGACCTACATCTGAACGTTAAGGAGAAAATACTTATTTTAACGTATCTCCATATAATTTATCTAATTTTTCTGTCAGTGCAAGATGGAAATTAACTCCTGATGTCTTAAGTGATGCTATTTTGTGATGATAATGGAGTAGCTGAACTTAATATGAAGAGCATAGTGTCATTAGAAGATATTAAACTGGTTCTTTTTAGTTCTAAGACTACTTTTTCAACTTTCCATTTTTAATTCTACTCCTAGCTGAATTTAAGACAGCAAGGCAGAGAGATAATGTACAAGCTGTCTTTTAACACAGTTGCTAATGATTCCAAATTAAGAACAGATGTTTAGCACATGCAGTTAAATCAGAGAATGTTTAACAAGCAACAAATCTGTGATCCTTCAAAATGACTCATCTGAGTTGCTGGATGCTGCTGCCTAAGCACAAGAAATCACAGTCCCTGCTGTGATTTTGATCCTAAGTGTGATTTACCATTATCATGTCATCAATACCTTCTGCAAAATCACTGGTAATATTGTTCATGCTGACTTAATTCACTGAGTGAAATCCATTAGCCGTGCTTACTAGAAACTAGGTTTGGCCCTGTAAAACATTTTAACAAAGATGTTTTAATAACTGTATGTTTAGCTAGGATGGTCTGACAAAATTTAAAATGGCAAAATCTAAATACATTCTTTCTCATGAATGAAGGCCTAGAACAATTGTGCTAAACTAATTTCAAAAAAATCATGGCTAAACACTTGAGAATTTATGAAAATTAGAGCACATTGCATCAAGACAACCACACTCAAGCCCAAACACACAGAAACAAATGCCTAATCCAGCTGAACTGAGTTTAGTAGTTCATAAATTCCAGTGCTGCTAGAAGGTCGTAAGTATCTTTCTCAACATACCAAGTCTATAGAAAGCAGGATTCATCCTGAAAGTGTCTAACACATGAATAAAAAAAAAATACTTAAAATTATGGATTTGTGCCACAATAAGAGGATCACTAGTGCATTTTATGCAAAGTAATTGGCCCTGACCACCATCAGTAAACAAACAAACAAAACCCAAATCACTCTGCAGCTGGCCTACTTAAAACTGCAAAGCTGATGAAAAACATCTACTAAAAATAGTAGTGCCACTGTGGACTTACAAATAGAAATGAGTCTTCTCACAATGTTGAATTCACAATAACAATACCCCAAACCACTATGATTTCTAGCACAGAATGACAGTTTTCATAGCAATTAATATTGAACACAATATATATAATACGTAGATATTATATAAACTAAGATGGTGCATTTGCACAGTAAAAAGTATTGACAACAATTGTGCAAAAAACCAGTGATGGTCTTCTGCCTTTAAGCACACTAACACAATTTTAAAACAGACAACCTCTTAAGCAAGTTTAGTATTTGTGGTGAATATTTTTCAAGTTAAAGCTGACCACTGTGTCTACTGACACCTGACCACAGTGAATTGGGAACTGCTGAGTGTTATCTCTCCCTCAATGAATAACCTGAACTGCTGCTGGAGACGGAACGCTGCGGGTTTAAGCAGCTCTCTCTGCAGACGTACCAGCGTCACCCTCAGCACAGACTAAAAACGCTGCACTTCGGCAACGCATGGCCCACTTTAAATTCGGATGCTGAACGCAGACAGTGCCTCTCCGAAGCTGCCGAAATTCAGCCCGACGCCAAAATTAATCCTCAGCACAACACTTTCCCGCGATGGAAGCCGGGGGTTCGCAGGGCCCGGCTCGCTCACACCGTTACCAGCAGGACAAACAGGTCGCCCTACCTCCGTGAGGATGGATTTACTGGGCTGGAATCGCAAGGACAGGGGAAAAGCAAACCTCCTCCGGGTCCGCCAGCAGGAGAGACCCCGGGCATGTGGGAGAGGGGGCCGTGCCCGCAGAGCATCCCCCGAGCGCCGCACGCATCCCTCCCGGAGCGGGATCCCCTTCCCAGAAACGGACCCCCGCCCTGCTCAGCCCGCCTCCCGGCACGTCATCGCCTTCCTCCTCCTGCCTCTTCCTCCTCCTCCTCTCCCTGCCCCCTCGCCCCAGCAGGGCAGCGGGCTGCCTACCGAGGAGCCGAACCCGCGCCCTCTCCGGAGAAAGCGGCTACTCCGGCACCGGAGGAAGTGGGGAAAGGGGAGGGAAGGGAAAGGAAGGAAGGAAGGGCCGAGCCGGGCCGCACCGGGACCCCGCCGCCCCTCTGCAAGCAACACGCCCCGCATCCCTCCCGGCATATTCCCCGCCGCGTTCCCCTCGCTCCGGGCGAGGGAGCAGCGAGCTCACCCCGGCGCGCCGCTCCGGCCCGCAGAAACGGCCCCGCCGCACCGGCAGCACCGCAGGCCGCGGGGACGGGCGGGGCGGGGCCCGGCGGCAGGGGCGGGCCCGGCCCGGCCTCCTCTCCCTCACGGAGCGCGGCACCGGCGGGCCCGCCCCCGGTGCGAGGGCTGGGGAGCGGGCGGCAATGGGGCAGAGCCCCGGCGGAGGCGGCGGGAGCGGCCCGTAGATAAGGCTCTTTATCTTTGAGCCTGAACGCCCCCAAGTTGTAGTGGGAACGAGCGAAGGGACTGGTTAGCTGTCGTTCTCCCGGATTCCACTTGTGTCTTGTCATAGCACAGTCCTTATCTTTGCAGGGATTAGCACCAGAAAAATCACAGAATTGCAGAGTTGGAAGCGATCGTCAAGGATTATCGAGTCCCAGCTCCCAACGCCAACTCCCTGCGCAGGACACCCCAAGAGTCACATCATGTGCCCAAGAGCATTGTCCAAATGCTTCTTGAACCCTATCAGGCTTGGTGCTGTGACCACTTCCCTGGAGAGCCTGTTCCAGTGCCCAAACCTCACACTCTGGATAAAGAACCTTTTTTTTTTTTTTTTTTTTTTTTCTTTATATCCAGCCTAAACCTTCTCAGGTTTATGTTGTCTGAACCTGACAGCTTCAGATCATTCCCTTGGGTCTTGCCACTGGTCACCACAGAGAAGGGATCTGGGCATGATTGCTGTCATTGTGAAAATACAATAGAAAATCAACCAGCCACTGTAGCAAAACATCCATTCCTTTGGGAAGCATGGTCACCAACCTTATTGAAACCTATGCTTACGTATGTTGTAAGGTTTATCTGTAGTTCAGTGCTGCAGGCTAGATCCACCTCTTTTAACAAGAAATAGGTGTAGCAGGGAAACAGAAGAGAGGTGAAAATATAGGTCCAGGAAATAACAAGATAAAGGTCACTTGCTCCACCCTGCCTTGCTCACTCCACTAGAGCCCAGCATCTTCAGGGATATCCATGCAGAGTAGCTGCAGCAAGGTGATGCTGGGGTGTTCAACCTGGAATTAGAACACTGTTGAAAACAAGTAATCTGAGAATCTATTATTTAAAAAACATTATGGTAAATAATAGCTGAGGTGAATTGCTTAATATTTGTTCCAGGAACACAGAACTCACAATAAAATGTCCTCTTCAGTATTACCTCTCATTAATGGGAAGGAAGAGGAATTTCTGTGGGTGTGAGGAATACCTTGCAAGATGCAAGATTCTTTTTTTTGTCTAATTATTTTTTCTTAATCTAACTTTGTAATTACAATTGCTTTGTGCAATTGTATGCTTTTTACTCATGTTTGTTTATTTTGATTGTCTATGTTTGTTTTGTTTTGTTGTGCTTTTTGCAGTTATTGTACTAAAGATCACCTCAGGCTTTCAGCAAGGTTACTGTTTTTACTTATCACAGTTGTTTTTCACGCATGTCCAAAGAGAAATATTTGGATCTCAGTTGGCAGTCTGTATTTGAATTACCTGTCACCAAATAGGTTTGATACAAGATGTTTAATACATCGCAAACCAAAGGCATCAATCTTCTGCCACAGCATGTTTTGAAATAAACCTAGCTTGGAATAAAATATGGTTGAAATTTAGCTGAACAAGTTAGGAGCATAATTTGTGATAACACGTGAACAGGCACTGTTATTCAGGCCTCATCTGTACTTGAAATTATATGAAAAAATGAGTTTTATGTCTTAGAAATATAGCCAATAAATAGAGCCTGTGCAGGTTGTGTGTAACCACTAACATCATGAGGAAAGCAAAACCCTCAGTATTCCTGCATGTTCCTGACTGAATGGTTTGTTAAAATGCAATTTAAAATATTATATATTTGATAGTTATAACTAGCTGAGGCTTAGATCTCAATAAAATGTGGCTATCAGATCTGATAGCCATACATGCTCACAGAACCAGACAGACTGCTGGTTAGTGGGAAAAGAGAGATCTGAGTGCAAGAAAAGGCAATTAGATTGTAGTGCTTCCATTTTGGAGTTATGCTACAATAGACACAGGATTAGAAGAACAACAAAAAAATCCCCAAACCTAATTTTCTTAAAACCTAGGTGTAATAGAATTTTTTCACATCGGGTTCTCCTCTCCATTAGATAGGTTTATTGACACCAATCAGTCATGATGCCTGGTAGCTCCAGCCAAGTGCCTGAAAAGAGGGACCATGGAAAAAGAATTCCCTGGGCAAATACACCCTTACAATGTAATCTCCCCATCCATCATGTGACAGTCTGGAGAAGCAGCTGTATTGGGGCTGTGGTATTGTCACCTTCCGTTGTTTTTTTACCAAGTGATTGCTGTGTGATCATTTTTACATCCCCTTACTGTGGTTTCGATGGGGGTTTCAGTCAGTTTTGTAGTCCATGTTGTAATAGTGTTGTTACAGTTCATATGCCACGATTTAGAGACTGCCCACTCTGGAAAAGGAACCATCAGCTTTAAGGGAAGGGCATGACGAAACTATGGAAGGGAGGGGGAAAAGGAATCCTAGCAGAGATTAGAAATATCTGTCTTCAGATAAACAATTAATATTTTAAGACCTGTCAGATTAATGTTTGAGTTTCTGCCTCCTTGTGGATGGCCGATCTCCTCTACTCTGCTAGCTTTCTCAAAATACTATCTTACAGAATCTCACTGGGGAGGAAAAAAAGTGTTCTGCTTTTGCTGTTCTACAGGGTGTATGGAAAGGATCCTGATGGTTAAAGAACGGTTTCAGTCCCTACTACAATGGCATCACATCTTGCATTAATCAAGGAGATTCAAGTAGGGTTTGCTGAGAAGGCTTTATTAAGCTATACTAAACCCAGTCAGTAATTAAAGTGCTTAGCACTATATGCTAAGGCTATGTTTTCTAATCTACTAAGAACTTTGGGAGTCAAAATATATTATTGTATATAACAGTGTATTATTGCTAGGTGCCCTAATTTCAGATCATACTAGTGAGCTAAACAACAACTTAATTTTGGAAACTGATAATCTTCTTCTGCTTTTGGATAGGGAATGGAGAGATTTGGGGATTTACATTCAGTAACCACTCAGGACATGACTTCAGACAGATTAAATTATGTAGAAGTTGGCTTTGAAAGTTCTTCTGAAGAAATTTGCACAGGTAATCTTGTGTTTGTAATGTTGTCCAAAGAGAGGACATTAGCAGTGCAGACTTGAAAAAAATGAGCTGAGGATGGACTAATGGACTATCTTTTCCAGATTGTGTAGAGGTATTTCCCTAACTGTCAGTGGATCTGAACACAGGGAAGGAGAGACAAGGTTAGGTCATATAAGGAAGGACTCTGCAGTTTCTTCAATAGTGCTGTCATGGTTTAGCTCCAGTTGGCAACTATGTACTATGCAGCTGCTTCTTCACTAGACCCTCCAAACTAGTGGGATAGAGAGGAGAACTGGAAAAATGTAAAACCCATGGGCTGAGACAATGTCAGTTTAACAACAGGGCAAAGGAAAGGGATAAATAAAAAACTAGAGAAAAAAGTGATGCTCAATTCAATTGCTCACCACCTGCTGACCAAAGCCCAGCCCATTGTCAAGCAGCAATTGGCAGCTCCCGGCCAACTCCCCTGATTTTAAATATGGGCCAAGATGTTCTATAGTATGGAATATCCCTTTGGCCAGTCCAGGTCATCTGTCCTGGCCATGCTGCCCCCTTAGCTTCTTGTTCACCTGAGATAATGAGAAGTCCTTGACTGAGGGTCAGCACTGCTTGGCAACAACCAAAACATCAGTCTGTTATCAACATTATTCTCATACTGAATCGAAACCACAGCTACTAAGAAAAAACTCTATCCCAGCTAAAACCCACACAACTCTTTTCCTAACAGAGACATGTCTTTCTGTCCTGATGCTGAAGTTTGAATGTGAGCAAATGAGTTTCATGTGCAGGTAATGGAGTGCCTGCTCCAGCTTCTAAAGGAGTGGAGCAGGTTGTGCCTAGGTTTCGGACAACATTCCACTTAAATTGTTACCTTGGACTGTGTTCACGTGTGCCTATTACAGGGCATTAAGGAAAGACTGCCTGTAATCTTCTGGAGCAACAAAAATGGAAAGAGAAACACAGTAACAGTACTCATCATTTACATCCTCAAGCCTTCTTCATTTGGTTTTCCTCTGCTTATATTTAAGTCAGTATTTTTCAGACTTTAGTTCTTCTGCCTGTGTAAAAATGTGTGTCAACCACAGGTTCTTTGGCCAAATAAGTAGCTAGAAACCAGTACAGGTTAATATTTCAATGTTGTTCTGAATATGCTTATTCTCAGATTTATATTCTTTTTTTTTCTGGAGAAGGACCATCAGGGTTCATTTTGAAGATGGGTACTTCTTTGAGGCTGAAGGAAATGTAATTTCCTATTCAAAAATGCTATTGACAAATAATAAGTAAAATCTTACAAAGCCACATGATCTAAATTTCTAAAGACTCCTCAGCCTCTTACTGTGGCAGGAGTAGGGCAAGAGAGATGTCAAATGGAGGCAAATGTGCCTGAGAGTTTATTAATAGTTTTCTTTGGAAAGGGGATGTGTCAGTCTCCAATACCTCTGGAGGAAAGTTTGGAAAGGAGCAAGGCTTGTCACTTGGCTTTTCCAGCAGATGGGTTGTGATAAAGAGCTTCTTAAAGTGTGCTAGAGCTGAAATGCAGGTGGTTGCT